TCACCTCTACCCCGAGTAGTTAAAAATAATTCTTTAAATTGGAATAATTCAGAAACGATGAATAGAAATCATGAAAATTATACAACCCCAAAATAATACAGTCAACTAATGTGTGTGTGCCAAGACCTGGTGTCACAAGCATGGGCAACTAGTAGAATATACAAAAGAGTCACACTATCCTACTGTCCGAACGGAATAGACAGCAAAAGCACAAAAAGGAAGACTTCTTCAGGCTGCTGAACGGCATGGAGGAGGAGCAGCTCACCGTAGAAGTCTCGAAATCCGCTCAGAGATGCGCACCCGACTGATAGCCAAATGTACCTGCCTCAGACCCTGTACAATTAAGTACAGAAGTGTAGTATGAGTACATAAACAATATGTACCCAGTGAGCATCCCGTCTAATCTCGAAGAAGTAGAGACGAGAGGTCGACTTGATACTCATAGGGTCAAATAATGTGAGAAGAATTTATAAATGGCATGGATAGCATAAGTAAATAGCATTTAAAAAGATCATGGCATAACAGTTCTTCCCCAAGTATTTTCATGGATAGTCACCTATATTTCAAGCAGGTATGAAATCCCGTCCTCAGAGAAACACTAAGGAAAACATATACAAGTGACACCGTGGGACGTACGGTCCGATCCAACATAAAAATAAATTGTGCACTGCCGAGGGTCGAACGGCTCGAACCATAGATGCATCTATTACCCCGCTCACGAATCACCCATGCGACGCGGTCAAATATAAATAAACTCATCAACAAGCAAACAATAATATATATCTAAGGAGTAGTTATACACAGGAATACCTAATATTTTCCTTTGAAAGACCAAACAGGATAAGGTTCCTTTACTAGTTTCATTTATCTTAATCAAAATAGTTTATACGAATCCGAATTTATCATCAAGACACAAGAATATCACGTAGAGCATGCTTATGCGTCCTAGACTGCCCGAACTTAACATATTAGTCCCTACGCACGGACTTTCGTCACCTAGTGCGTACGTAGCCCCCACAAATACTAGCATTTAATTCAATTATTATACCTATGGGGACAATTCCCTCTTACAAGGTTAGAAAGGAGACTCACCTCGCTTCAAAATTCACTTCCAATGCCAAGAACAAGTCCAAGCCCTCAATTCGGAGCCGAACGATCCCAAACTAATTAAACGAAGTAAGAACTAGTTAATATAGACTCATAAGATCGAATTCTAGCTATTTAACCAATTTTCCAACCATTAACACAAGTTTCCCAAAATCCGACCCCGGGCCCACGTGCCCGGATTCCGAAATTTTTCGAAGGAAGTTGTTCTGTACAACCTAAGGATCACTAATATACGATTTCTAATTAATTCCATAACAAATTTCGTGGTTAAATTCAAGTTTTATTAAAACCCTAGGTTTAGCTCTAACCCCCTTTGATTTCTCCAATCTAGGTGTTATTCTACCCAAAACTCGAGTATTAAACTTACATTAAGTAGAAATAACTTACCTCACAATGCTATGTTGAAATCCCCCCTTTGAAAGCTCCCAAATCGCTCAAGTGTAGAGACAAAATGAAATAAATAGCCTAAGTCCCGTTATTAAAAGCTGTGTCCAGGTCTCTGATGTCGCATTTGCGACACCAGGTTCGCAAATGCGAAGTCGCAATTGCGAGAATATGTTCGCAAATGCGAACTGGGTCACCCTCTGCACTGATCGCAATTGCGATAGAGGCGTCGCAAATGCGGACCCTGCTGGGGTCGCAAATGCGAAGCAAAAGTCGCAAATGCGAACACAGCTCCCAGCCAGCTTTATCGCAAATGCGATGCTACTCTCGCAATTGCGAGATCGCAATTGCGATCAAGGTCTCGCAATTGCGAAACCTGCAGCAGCAGCAAAAACACCAGAAAACTGGTGTGTTGATTTAATCTGAACCCATGCCCGAAACTCACATGAGCCCTCGCGACTCCTAACCAAACACACGTACTAACTCAGTAACATCATACAAACTTATCCGTACGGTCAAATCGCCAAAATAACCGCAATAGCAATGAATCAAACCTCAAAAATCAGAGAACTTTTCTTCAAACTTCATCAAGTATCAAATTTAGCAATTCAAGTCCGAATCACGTCAAACGACGTCAGTTTTCAACCAAATTTTACGGGAATGACTTAAACCTTATATAAGACCTGTACCGGGCGCCGAAACCAAAATACGGGCCCGATATCAACACGTTCTAATCAAATTTCATTTCAATTTTGCTTAATCTATTTCAGAAAATAATTTTACTTAAAAATTCATTTCTCGGGATTGGGACCTCGAAATTCGATTCCGGGTATACGCCCAAGTCGCATATTTTCCTACGGACCCTCCAGGACCGTCGGATCACGGGTCCGGGTCGGTTTACCCAAAATGTTGACCGAAGTCAAATTTAGTCTTTTAAGAAAATCCTAAGAAATCACATGGGCATATTTCACCCAAAACTCTTCCAAATCCCGAACCAACCGTCCCCGTAAGTCATAAATTAGCTAAAGCAAGCGCGAGAAGTTTTATTTGAGGGAACAGGGTTCAAAAAGGCAAAACGACCAGGCGGGTCATTACATCGGATCCCGACAAAATTTACAAAAACCGAATACCCATTCTGATACGAGTTCACCCATACAAAAATTATCTAATTCCGATACCATTTGGTCATTCAAATCATCATTTTACATTTTTGAAAGATTTCACAATTTTCCCCAAATTTTTCTTTAGATTCTCATGAATTTGATGTTAAATCTAAGGTATAATTACAAAATATAGTTGAAAATTGATTAGAGACACTTACCCAATGATTTGGAGAAGTTTGGGTCTTTGAAAAATAGCCTATGGAGGTTTAGGGTTTGAGAAAAATAAAAAATGGGTAAAAATCCCGTCAAAAATTTCACTTCACAGGCCTCAGATGTCGCATTTGCGACCCAAGGTTCGCAATTGCGAACCCTTGCAAATTGCGAACAAAGCAGGGCTGACAGAAGTCGCATTTGCGACCAAATGTTCGCATTTGCGCACTGGGCGTCGCAATTGCGATGAAAAAGTTCGCATTTGCGAACACACTAGAAACCAGCAATTTTCCCGACACGAAAATGAGCATAACTTCCTCATACGATGTCCAAATTCGATAATTCTTTTTCCTATGGCTCCGTAATTTCGATACGGATCTAATGGTTCAAACAAAACTGAATTTGGATCTCATTTGCTCAATATGATATCATTTTTTCTTGAAGAAACGACGATGAAGCATCCAAAAACAAGCGCAATATAGCCTAAACTTATCTGAAACTCACCCAAGCCCTCGGGGCTCCAAACCAAACATGCACACAAGTCTAAAAATATCATAAGGACTTATTCGTGCGGTCAAATCATAAAAAACTATGAATTTAACCTCAAAACTCATGATTTTCTAACTTTTCAATCGGGCGTCCAAATCACGTCAAATCAATTCTGATTCTCACCAAATTTCACAGATAGGACTTAAATATCATAACAAACTTTTACCATGCTCTGGAACCAAAATACTGGCCCAATACCAATGAGTTCAAACATTAATCATTTATTTATTTCCTTTAAAAACCAGCACAATAATTTTGTTCAAAAATTGTTTTTTAAGGTTAGGGACCTCGGAATTCAATTCCGGGCATACGTCCAAGTCAGATATTTTACCGCGAACCTCCTGGGATCGTCGGAACACAGATCCGGGTCCGTTTACCAAAAATGTTGACCAAAGTCAACAAAAAAAACCAAATTTTAACACTAGAATTACTATATTTTTCATATTTTCACATAAAAGCTTTCCAGTTTTACGCCCGGACTGCGCGCGCAAGTCGATACACATAATATGAAGCTGCCCGTGACCTCAAACTGCCGAACCGAGCGCAATTGCTCAAAACGATCAGTTGGGTCGTTACAAAAATATCGTAAAAGTTATGACATTTGATACAAATGTAAACAAAAAAAAGAGTTTTACTTTGAATCTCATATTATCAGTCGATAATTACGAACATAAACATCTAATGTTGAAAATTTATATATTTTTTAATTGTTAAGTTATTCTTTGTCTAGAATCAAAACAATATTATACATATTATTATATTTATAAAATATTTTGATATTTATCCTCCAAATAGACGAGCTATGTGATTGTCGATTAATGTCTTAAAAGTCTTTTTGGGACTCGTTCATGACTCACTCCTGGGCGAGGCACTTGTTGCGACGGCTCATGTGTGAGTTTTAGTTTTGTGAGGCTTACGCCACAAATGTCTAATTGAACATCTTGACCACGCCTATCCTTAGCGTTCCGAAGTTACTACGTAAATCATATGTTAAATTTCTAATTAGTAATATTGACCCTCAAAATAATTTAACAATTGATATATATATATATATATATATATATATATATATATATATATATATATATATATTGAGATTAACAGAAATATCTAGTCATAGTATTGTATTTTTACTATTTGAGTTAGAGCATCGTAAAGGTAAATATCATTTGAATATTGCTTTTGAAAATGAATAGCCGAAATTTATGTCTTTACTTGCTATTGCTCTTTATTTCTTAACTTTATATCTCCCAAAATTATTGGACTTTTATTCTTTTTACTAAAATTATACTTTTTGTGAAGGAGTATTATTTTAAAAGTATATTACTTATAAAGTTTATTGATTATTTATTTTTTGAGAGGTAATTAAATGTGTAGTTTTAATATTTTTTAAAAATATTTAATATTTTAATTATTTAAAATTACAGACGTTATAGTTGATTGTGTGATACTCCACATTTTTTAATAATGATATATAGGTGTTTAGCCAAATAATAATAATAATAATAATAATAATAATAATAATAATAATAATAATAATAATAATAATAATAATATAAGAAAAGATTAAAAAAAAAAGATTAAGAAAAGGTATAAAAAGATAATGGGCCAAACCCATTAGAAAGACTTGAAAAAGTCCAAGTCCAAAAAAAAGGGAAAGGAAGAAAGGGTTTCACGTTACTTCTGCCGCAACCAAGTCCCAAAGAAAGAAACTAAATACACCAACAATTGAATTGGCAAATTTGAGAAGATATCGAGATCCACTTTGTACCAGACATGAAGATTAGAAGGGGGATTAAGGGAAGTGTTGGTTTTGCAAATTGTGGAGCAAAATAGAGAAGGAAGAGTTAGGCGGAAGCTTTGGTGCCGCAAGAAAAGTTATTTTCAGCCATAAGATTTCAAGGTATTTTAGTCAATATAATTGTCGCCAACCATTGTTAATTTTAAATTCAAGGTATATCTTATTACTCAATTGATATGGGTACCTTTAATTTATTATGGTTTGAGTTAAATAGTGATATTGGTAACTTATAAGTTTCAATTGAATTGGATACAAGAGTCATGAACAAGATTAATTTTTCTATTCTAATAATTGGATAATATTCTGGTAGTTACTTTGAGGTATTGTGAGTGCTTGCAAAGCACCACGTAAAATAGAGTAAATTGTTAATTTTTCAGGCAACTCAAATTCTTCTTTTGTCCATTCCAAATTGTATTACAAATATAAGTTTAATGACAAACATGGAAAAAGAACTAGTTTCCTATCCATTTAGTACTAGTGAAGTGATTAACAGAGAATCAACCTTCATACTAGAGGAATGAAACAACAAAAAATTTATCAAATGCGGCAGGTTTTGACCAGTTACGTTGGTAGTTAATGAAGTTGCTATATAGATTGATTTTGCAATGATATAGGTGATTGAAGAAGTGAACCTAGTGTTCGCAGTGAACACTACAAATTATAACTTTTCATTATTTTACTGTTCTTTAAAAAAAAAATAATTAATTTGCTAAGGTGTATCCTGAGTTAAATGTCTCTGGAAGTACTTCCAATAATGTATATGCACAAGTTATGGGACCAGACACTCATCAGATTTGTTCGAATTCTAAGAAAAGGAGCAGCTCGAAGTTTTGTTTATTGTTTTGTATATAAAGAGTCTTAGGTTGAGCAAAGGGATTTTAAAAAAGAGTTGAGATAGAAGTTCAAAAAGCTACCTCAGCTATAAGAATTTGATGGAGGAAAAGTTGTCTGAACCTACCTTAGCTATATTTAATAAAGTATTTCTCAATACAAAATGAAAAATCTTATGTGGTTTTGTGTTATTTTTGCATCTTGTATTCTATAATTTGCTAAATATTGAATTTTATAAACTATCAAAGTAACCAATCTAATGTCTCCTCAGGTTAACACAATCAGGAAGACTGAAATGAGTGAAGTAGGCACAAAGAAAAAATGGGTAAGTTTGAAAAATAATAAAATACTTTTTCCTCTCTTTTCTTTTGCCTTATTTTCTTTCTTTTCTCTTTTCAATTGGTGCTGTTATACCCATTATACAATATGTTTATTTTTTAGAATCCCAATCTGTTATTTTTGGTATCCTAATTTGTTATAATCGAAGAGGAAAAATTTCCTTTAATATATAGTTATAATTTTTTTTTCTGCATGACTTCTTGTGCAGCATTTTAGAAGGAGGATTACTAGCATTGAAAAGGTTGACACATGGAGAAGTGGTTTCAAAAAGCTTTGTTGCAGGATCTAGTCTAGAAGTTAAGAGAATTCTTTCTAAAGTGATTATGACGTAGTTACACGTTGAAATTACTGCCTTTTATGATTTACTCAGATTTGAGTTTTACTTGAGAACAAATTATTTAATTCGGCATCATCTATTTGTGCAGAGTACTTCTTAGATTGCTACTTTGTTCTTTAGTTATAATATTAAAAGGCATTTGGTTTACATATATTTCATGTTAGTTGAAGGTTGAAATTTGTGGATGTACAAATTGAATGTAAAGTGTTATCCTAAATAGAGGATTAATCTAAATGTTGGAATTTTTAATATGACATTTTAAAAAGTTGTCAAAATGTCACTAATCGTTTTTGACAGTCATGTAAATGTAAATACGACATTTTTATAAATGTCATAAATTTTCTTACTGACATTTTTTAAAAGTTAAAAGTAAATGTCGTAAATTTCTTACTGACATTTACCTAAATATCATAAAATAAATGTCGTAAATTTTTTACTGACATTTAAGAAGCTTAATATGACATTTAATAAATGTCGTCGTATCTTGGCGTAATTAAACTTCCTATATTGAACAGATAAAAATAATTATAACTTATTAAAACATGTTAGTTGCTATCTTTATCAGGTTACTATATAGTACTACTTATCATAGGAATTTAATTAATTGCAATTACCTTATAAATAATTTGATTTGTGTAAACATTTTAGTTTTTATTTTGGGTTTTGTACACGAATTTTTTAATGTTGAACTCGTCCACCAATCGTTTAGTCACTATCTTGATACTTGATACATACAAGTTCCTAAAGTAGCTTTCTCAGTCTGTTTCATTGTCATAAATAGCTTGGAGGGCAATTTTTTTTCTTTTGTACTTGCTTATGTACTTGACAATTACTTAATCTTTAATTTGAACAGGTCAAAAAAAGAATTTAGTTGACAATATCGAGATTCATATGCTATAAATACGACCATCTATGTTGCCTGTTTCCTTACTGCGACAAGTTACTGTGTTATTTTGTTGTAAAAACACTAATCTTTTGGAACTAAAATATACGCATACAATATTCACAAATGAAATGACAATGAAAGAAGTACCAACCATTGGATGAAATGAGGAGAAAGCACAAGAGGAGAGCAAGGAAGGCTGTGTAGCTCACTAGTGACTTTGCCATATTCCTATAAATTGGAGCTCGAGGTCCCCGTTGCTCTAACAACTCTGGTTTGGTTCATCAATTCTTCTTACTTAAACCTAATATTACTTGTGTATTCACTAGTATTTGAATATATCACATATCTTTAAAACCACAAATCACCTTTAATAGTCACTCACATTTTTCGAGGTAAACAACACTGCCCGTGGGCGGTTTTAAAACGATGCCGAGCCCAGATCCTTTCACATTCGAGGCACCGTCTGTGAAGAGGTTCCATACCCCCGACGGCGTACCCGTTTTTAGCAAGTGTTCCTTTTCTACTTCGGGTACGAGGTCAGGCGCGAAATCGGCCACGAAGTCTGCCAAAATTTGAGAAATGATAGCCGTTCGAGGCTGATATTCGATATCATACCCTCCAAGTTCGATGGCCCATTTGGCCAATCTGCCCGATAATTCGGGCTTATGCAAGACACTTCAAAGTGGGTACGTAGTCAATACACATATTGGATGGCATTGAAAATATGGTTTTAATTTCCTAGATGCGCTTATTAATGCAAGAGCTAACTTTTCCAAATGTGGGTACCATGTTTCAGCATCTCCTAGGGTCCGACTCACATAATAGACAGGAAATTGCGTACCTTGCTCTTCTGGAACCAACACGCCACTTACCGCCACCTCGGACACGGCTAAATACATGTAGAGTGTTTCATCCTCCTTCGAAGCATGGAGCAGAGGTGGGCTTGAGAGATGCCGTTTTAATTCTTCCAAGGCTTGTTGGTACTTCGGAGTCCATGCGAAGTTGTTCTTTTTCTTGAGTAGGGAAAAGAAATGATGGCTCCGATCTGATGATCTCGAGATAAATCGGCCTAGGGAAGCTATCCGTCTGGTCAGCCGTTGTACGACTTTCACATTGTTCACTACGGTGATTTCCTCGATGGCTTTGATTTTATCGGGGTTAATCTCGATACCCCTGTTCGACACCATGGAGCCAAAGAACTTGCCCGAGCTGACTTTAAAAGCGCATTTCTCGTGGTTGAGCTTCAGGTTGTACTTTCTTAGGATATCAAACGTCACCTGCAAAGGGGTCACATGGTCCTCTACGCGCAGGGACTTAACTAGCATGTCATCAATATAAACTTCCATGGATTTTCCTATTTGATATTCGAACATCTTATTAACTAGGCGTTGATATGTGGCTCCTACATTTTTTAGCCCGAAGGGCATTACATTATAACAATACGTACCATACTTCGTGATGAATGAAGTCTTTTCCTGGTCCTCCAGTTTCATTTGAATTTGGTTGTACCCGGAGTAGGCATCGAGAAAAGTAAGGATCTCGTGGCCGGCCATAGCATCGATCAAACGATCGATGTTGGGCAATGGGAAAGAATCTTTAGGGCATGCTTTGTTCAAATCTTTGTAGTCTACACACATTCTAAGTTTATTCCCCTTTTTAGGGACTACCACTTGTTAGCTAGCCATTCGGGATATTTTACTTCCCTAATGAATCCTATCTTGAGATGCTTGGTTACCTCTTGTTTGATGAATGCATGCTTTTTCTCGGACTAAGGTCTCCTCTTTTGCTCACCGGTTTAAATCTGGGATCGACACTTAGGCGATGGGTAGTTATCTTCGGTGGGATCCCTGTCATATCTAAGTGGGACATGCGAAGAAATCAATGTTATTGATAAGAAATTGAATGAGTTTTTTCCTGTTTGGGTGTCCTGTATGGTTCCGGCCACGTTGATTGGGAGGATGATTTCCCCCTTCGTCATTTCACTTGCCATGTTGAAGCCATTCAAGACTCGAGATGCTGGTATGATTAGACCGAGCAATCCGAGCTGCTCCACGACCCCTAGCCTGATTATATTTGCCGAACTACCTGGATCCACGAGAAAACGTTTAACTTGAACTTTATTTAATAGGATAGAAATTACCAGCATCGTAGTGAGGCTGAGACAAGGCCTCGATGTCTTCTTCGCTGAATGTGAGGGTGTCCTCGAGCATGTAGTCCCGAGTCCATTTCTCCCTTGTGATGGATACTTTGGTACATTTGAATATAGGTCCCTGTGGGACGTCGACTCCACCGATGATCATGTGAATGACATGTTGAGGTTCTCCAGGTTCATTCTTCCTGTTTGTATCTCTTTCTCGGAAATGATTCTTGGCTCGGTCGCTGAGAAATTCATGAAGATGGCCCTGGTTGAACAACCGGGCTACCTCCTCTCTAAGCTGCCTGCAATCCTCGGTCCTATGCCCTTGAGTACCATGGTAATTGCACATCAAGTTGGGGTTCCTCTTAGAATCTGCATAGGCTTGGGCCATCTAGTATCTTTAATTTTGCCAATGGCTGAGACGATAGCCGAGGCATCAACGCTGAAGTTGTACTCCGATAATCGGGGTGCCTCTGCCGATCTGCTCTTCGATCGTTCTGAGGTATGTTACGCCTTGAAATGTTCCTTCAATCCTCGACGTATGGCTGATATCTTTCCTTATTCGACCTTGACCCCCTATCTACATTTCCTGTCTCCTTTGCTAGTAACCTGCTTGGATAAATTGAGCCCAAGGGGGCTCCCAACTAGTCATCCTCGACCCTAATTTTTTATTGGTACCGGCTATGCACATCCGCCCAAGTCACGGCGGGATACTCGATCAAGTACTGCTTCAGCTGCTTCAAAGCTATCAAACTCCGTTCATTTAGCCCCTGAGTGAAGGCTTGTACAGCCCAGTCATCGGAGACAGGCAGTAACTCCATCCGTTCTGAATGGAAACGGGATACAAATTCCCTCAGCATCTCGTTCTCCCTTTGCTTTATTTTGAATACATAGGACTTCCTTGTTGCGACTTTTATGGCACTGGCATATGCCTTTACAAATAAGTCTGCCAACATGGCAAACGAATCAATAGAGTTCGGGGGGTAAGTTATGGTACCAAACAACGGCACGCTTAGACAGAGTTTCCCCAAACTTGTTTAGCAAAACAGACTCGATCTCATCATCTTCCAAATCATTTCCACTTATGCCACAAGTATATGTGGTGATGTGCTCGTTGGCATCAGTGGTCCCGTTGTATTTTGGGATGTCCGGCATCCGAAACTTCTTCGGGATGGGCTTCGGAGCCGCACTCTGGGGGGGGAATGGTTTTTGCACGAACTTCTTGAGTCCAGTCCTTTCAAAATCGAAGGTGCTCCCGGTATTTGGTCGACCCTCGAGTTGTATGTTTCCACCTTTTTGTCGTTGTCCTCAATCCTTTTTTCTCTTGACTCGATCCTCTTCGTGAGTTCCTCGAGCATTCTCATGATGGTGGGGCCAGTTCCCGAGCCGTTGTTGCTTGATCTCTCCGGGGTTAGCTCAACATGATGAGCGGTTTCTGGCCCAGCCACGCTCGGAGTCTTTTGCTGACTCTGCAACTGGGCGATAGCAACTTGTTGTGCTTGCCATCTCAAAAATCACTTGTAGACTAACATCTCTTTCTTCTTGAGCCTGTGTCCTTTGAGCGTGAGGTTGATCCCTTCGCGTACACTTCCTTCAACATCAATGTCCAAATCGATGTTCACGACAATGTGTGAACGAACATCAACGGGGTTCGGCACTAGTGCTACCCCAGGGTTTAGCAGTGGCACACCGGTCCCTGCGGCTGTTGCATTGTTTTCTCCATGGGATCCGAGGCCATCGTTTCCATGCACGGGTGCGTTTGCTGAGCTAGACATATCTTAGCCGCCTGAAATCAAAGAATCTTTGACAAGAAAAGGTGTGAAGAATAACGTGTGTTATCAGAAAACTAGCACTAAAATAATCACTTTATCTTTAGCCCCACGGTGGGCGCCAAACTGTTTACCTAGAAAAATGTGAGTGACTATTAAAGGAGATTTGTGGTTTTAAAGATATGTGATTTATTCCAATACTAGTGAATATACAAGTAATATTAGGTTTAAGTAAGAAGAATTGATGAACCAAACGGGGACCTCGAGCTCGATTATCTCGGGGGCCTCGAGGTGAGTTAAGAGCAAATAAAGTATGAACAATAAAGTAAAAATAATAAAGCTTGAAGAATAATTGTGGAGC